TTACACATTTGTCAAAACCTGTGGGCTGTACCACACAGAAGATGAGTAGACTTTAGTTAATAATGTGTCAATAATGACTCATCAGCTGTGACAAACGCACTACATTCATGGAAGAAGTTACTGAGAAAGCAGGGCTGGCATTGTGGTCAGTGGGTTATGTTGGCATCATCTGCATCACCCATGTTCCCTATCAGAGGGAAGGTTTGAGGTTTTACTTCTGATCCAGCTCCCTGCTGATGGCCTGGGGAAGCACAGAGGCTGGCCAAATACTTGGGTCCTACTACCCAAATGGGAGATCTAGAGGGACACTTGGCTTTAGCCATGCCCAGCCCCAGGTGTTGAGACCATTTAGGGAGTGAACAGTAAGAGGAAGATCGCTTTGTCCTTCTGTCCCTCCCTCTTTGTCACTGTCTTTCAAATAAATAATATAAACCTTAAAAAAAAAAAAGCACAGTTGGAAAAGGACAAGAGGCTGCACAATAACACTATACTTTCTGCTCACTCTTTCTAGAAACTTAAGTGTTTTTAAAACAAGTATTAAAAAAGAGTAGAGAAATACTAAAAGATGGAGGATGGTAAGAGTAGGCTGTGGACATACACTCTTGACACTGTGACATAAATCCATAATCATAATTAAAATAATTCCATCCCCAAGTAGAGCAAAAGGATGATGAATCACTCTTTGCCTGTCAACTTCCGAGCTTCTCCTCACAAGTGCAAAATATGCACCTATTTCTTCATGATGATGAGGATGCTTCTGCCTGCCTGCCTGCCACTGAATCTTCCAGTAGCATCTCTGTGCTTTGCCCTTGTATGGCAAGCCTCAGCTGTAATGGGTTCATTGTTCCCTTTCCTAGCTCATGACAGATCTTCCAGGTTTCTGTGCCTTTGCTCCTGCAGTTTACTCTGGCCACACTTTATCCCAGTCCTCTCCCCAACAAAACCCTATCTGTCCTCTAACACCATCTGCTTTGAAATGCTGGCTTCTTTGTGGTCTCCTTTACCCCAGTATATCAAGCAAGAATGACCCCTGGCTCTAGGTCTCCATGTTTGTTTATTTGTCTTAATTTTACTTTTTTCTATTACTGTTATCATTTTATGATAAAGTTCCACAGGTTCTGGGATTTTCCATATCTCCTCCCTGACTTCCCGCTCACTGACTTCCCCTGAATTATTACTATGGTATAGTTCTTCATAAACAGTCACATGTCCATCATTATGGGCATGGACAATGACAGAGTCCAGCATCCTATTGTCAAGATACAGTAAACAGTTTCATTGGGAGTCCATCTTTGGTTTGGAAGTCAGCATTATTTTCCCGGTGGGACTAGATCAATGCACTGAGCTCAGTGAGTTTGCTCGCTCCCAGCTCAGCACATGTGCAGTTCACTGTTGTCTCTGCAGTCTTTTTTTGAAAACTACATTTATTTCATTTATTTCATTTTATGACACAGTTTCATAGCTCTGGGATTCCCCCAAACCCTCCCCCCACATTGATCCATGTTTTTACAGTAGTACAGATCATAAATAGTCATGATTCCTTCATTGCGGGCATGGACTATGCAGAGTCCAGCATCTTATTGTCCAGATAAATTCAACAGTGTCATTGGGAAGCCATCCCTGGTCTAAAAGTAGGGCTGGCAGAATATTATCCCCTCCAATGAAAAGCCCCTACACAATTTCAACAACAATTTACAACATCATGAAGTTAATTGACATGGTATTGAGTGACCAGTATGTTAGAAAATGCAAGTTCTTAACCACATTCTGTAACTACTTCACTGACATCTCAATTATAGTTTATACACAACTGGCTGTTATACACCTTTAAATAGTTATAGGGTACTATTCAGCTGTCTCGTGTCTGTCTTCATTTATATATTTAGCAGCTTAAAGTATTCAAGTGTGATTTCTACTGAACTACACAAAATTTAGGATAGTCCAAACAGGCTTATACCTGAAACAAGACAAATGTTAACAATTGAGGAACAGAACAGTTTTAGGAAGGGTGTGCAGAGAAATCTTCAATACCTTAGTGAGGAGTAACTAATCTTTTGTGTCCTATTTAGTTAGATATATGTGTCCCTGTAGTCTTAAAGCCTTTGCCACACCTTACAAAATGACACTAGATCTGTCACTGCTAAAGTTCTTGATCTGCTGGCCCTCGGGTCTGAGGGCTACCAAGACCTATCTAGTGTGGAACCTGTAGGATGCCACATTGTTGCAGTTTGCTGAGCCAGAAACGAGTTCTCTCCCAGCTCAGTTCAGGCACAGTCCTGATCCATACCCTTTACCTCCCTAAACAAAATGGCACCCCATTCAGCTCTAGGGGTGCAAAGTGGGCTGTGAAATCCACTTGTTCCTGCACCGCATATCTGGGACCTGCTGCTCTGTCTCTGCCCCTGGTCGAATCAAACAGACCAGCAGGACGGGCAATTGTCTCGATTCACCTCCTGAACTCCCGGTGAACATCCCTTACTACCTTGTTGGTGGAGTTCCAGCTGCTGTGTGCAATTCAGATCGCTGCTCCCAGAATGGCGCTAAGGTTTCCGTCACTGCAATTCCATACCGTTGTGTCCGTTGCTTTCTTGTGTCTGTCTCCAGGTGTCCCTCTGCTGTTGTTCTATTTCCTGGACACTATCCTCTCTTCTTCATACTGGCTAATGTTTCTCTATTTAAACATCCTTATCCTATTCTGCCATCTTGATTCTCTCAGTCTCCATGTTTCTAATGTCCTCCTCTTCCTCAATCTGAGCTTAGGATGCTACAACATAACCGAAAACTGGTTTGAGAAAATTAGGGGCAGAACGAAGCCATGTCAAAGCAGTTCTAGGGAATGGGTGGGAGTTTAGATATAGCTCCATATGAAGTAGACTGTTCTATCAGAGTTGGCTTCATTATTACTGGGAATCAACATTTATTTGTGCCTGTCTCTAGCATCTGTAGCTCTAACCAACAGGGGCTGAGAGGGATTAATTCCAGCCTGATAATGGTGCTGTCCAGTGCTTTGATGCTGACCACCTGTGTCACCGAGTTGGGCAGCTTAGGCATCGGCAAGTCCTCTATTTGGTCCCAAAATTTGTAATCCTTTTGAGGAGGGAAGAGGAGAATGACCACATATGTACCTTTCATTTCTCAGAGGTTGTGGAGTTGTATTCTGCCTTTGCTATTTGGAAAAGAAGAAAAATGTTAGCTGACAAAGTGAGCACCTCTTATCTTTGTCTTGAGATCCTCAGCTCCTAAAGACTAGTGACTATGTACAGCAGTGAGCTACTGATGTTAGTTGATTTAATGTCTACTAAATACATGACAATGTTTCAGGCACTATGACAATGACTTAGAGTTCTCATCTCCTATGGAAGTCAACCTTGATCCAGCCATGGCAGTTGTATCAAGAGGGAATTGTCCTAGTTTGTTCAGATTATCATTTTAAAAATGCCACAAACTGAGTGGCTTAAACAACAACATCTATTTTCTTAAAGTTCTAGAAGCTAGAAGTCCCAGATCAAAGTTCAGCAGGGCTCGGTTTTGGATGAGGCTCCCCTGTTGGGCTGGATCATTTTGTCCTCACATGGCCTTTATCTTGAGCATGACATAGAGAGGGGAAGAGAACTGGCACATTGACGTCCATTACTAAAAACACTAATTCTACCACATAAGAGACTTGCCCTTGTGACCTCATTTTCTGCTAATTATTGTCTGTTTTCACATATCTTCCTGGGGGTTGGGGTTTCAACGTAGATGGGGTGAGGGGTGGCAGTCAGTGCATGGAAGGCACTCATGGAACACCACAGGTACAGATATGGCAATGATCACCTTGTCTGGGGAACAGTGGGGACAGCAGGTCCTGAGCAGATGACCCTGGCTCCAGATTTGAGTGCATATATTGTCTTTTGCTAAGTGGAGGGAGAGCCCAGCCCCTGCACAGAGACCATAGTCTGTAAGTAACGGTCCTCCAGGAAGAGAAGAGGCTTCCACGTCATATGCCTACCAAGCACATCTCTAGTCAGCGCTTTGTCCTTGCTCCTCCCATACGTTAATTTCCACAAGCAGCTGTTCTTGATGGGAGGGTGTGTCACAGATTTCCCGAATAGCTTCCAGAGGTCACTCAGCTTCCATCGCAACAGTCTGTGCCTCCTGTGAAGGTGATTGCTTTAAAGATTCAGTGACAGGTTCAGAAATGTCACTCTGCCTGTTCCTTCGCCATGGTGGGCTGAATTGACTGAGCTGGGGCTTGCCAATAGGAGAACCATACCTCATCATGTTCTTTGGTCAACACTCTTCGAGATCAGCAGGTACCTCAAGTGGTCAGTGCTGGACATCCTCACGTGCTAAGTAAAGGGGAGTAGAGGTTCTGAGAAGGCAGTTCTCTGGAAGCCTGGAGAAAATGAAGTGCTCCTTGCCCTTGATTTCCACCTCTATCCTGGCACATGGTCTCTGGGACTCTGGCTGTGGCTGATCAGTGGTCAGGGGATACATTCCCTCCAAGTAGGGCTCAGACTCTGTGCTTTAAGCTTGCTCCTCCAGTGGTGATGTCAATGTCCTGGGATAGCAGCTTGTAGATACACTAGTATGACTGTTGTGTATTTTAATGGCATGTGTTTCTCGTTTTGCTGGCAATTTGTTTCTTCTATGAAATCCACCTGCTCAGCCATGCACCAGCTAGAGCTCCAGCATGCTCTCCTGCTATTGATGTAAACATGGCCATTGCAGACCCCAGCCTCTTACCCAAAGCAGGCAAGGCTTTAGGGCCAGGAAGATGCACAGAGGGTTTGAATTATCAGAAACTTTCCCATCTCTGGGACTGACATTTCTTCCTTTAGAAACAAAAGGAAATTCAGGGCTGTTGGTTTCAGGCAGAATGAAAGCCTTGCTCTTTTATGTGGGAAGTTGGGTTAGTGTTGCTTCAACAAGTGGGCTACCAGATGCACGTGCAATGTTCAAGGCTCTCAGCTACACCTGTCGCAGCCTCTGGAGGGGCTCTGGCTGTTTTTCTCCCTTCCTCCTCTCCTGCAGAGACAGCTCAGGGGAGGGTTTGTGAGACAAACTGTGCGTTACAAAAGCTGGGGCCAATCTTCCCATGCTGTCACAGTCTCTGTGCTGGGCTCTGCTGAGGAGGGTGGAGTGTCTGGCTGTGCAGCTCCGACACAGCCAGCGCTGCACTAACTGCCACTGGAAAGGCAAGCCCTTTGGGTCTGGACCCTTCTCGCAGCTTCTCTCCCTGACAACCTGCCTAGTCTCTCCTCGCGTTCCTGCCAACTTCGCGTCTCAGTCATCCGAGCATCATCTGAAACCATCCTGCGGGTCTGTGGCTGTTCTATCAGGGCAGTGTTACAGGTCTTCTGCTGCTGGGAGAGAACAGGCCAATAGAATCAGAAGCACCGTCTGAGCCTGCTCACCAGCTGCACAGCACGGGCCAGCTGAATGGATGGCTTAATAAGCATTTAAGAGGTGCGGTTCAGCCAGCTTGGCTGGGGCTTCAGCAGAAGGACGGACGCTGAAGGGAAGGAGGCGAGTGTTGTTTCGTTGTTCGTGAATCACTGCGGACCCGCTGGGAGTGACACCCTGGGAAGCTGACAACCTCACCAGCAGGTGATTGATCTCAGTTACCCAGAAACAGAAGAGGGAGGAGATTGCCGGAATGTGAGTATGGCCCCTTCAAGGAAGGGTGTGGAGCATTGGGCACAAAGCTAGTTGTTGTAACTGACACTCCCCAGCCACCAGCTTCTGAGTGCATGGGGCCGTCTCAGAGTGGGTCGAGTGCAATGCCTGGCTTGGGACTTTGATTTCTCCTAGAATATTTCATCTCATAGGAAAGCGGTTATAGTGTCTTTGGGGGTATTGGCATGAGGAGACTTTATTGCAAAGCCCCTAGAAAGCAGCATAAACAAATCTCAGAAACCTTTTGCTATGAAAGAAAACAGATTGCATCACAGACCAAGCAGCTGTGTGATCCCCCCGCCCCATGTGATGAGAGACAAAAGAATGGGTCAAATGGGAGCAAAGAAAATGAAAGTGGAACAGTGAGCTGGGAGGAGGAAGGAGAAATCTTTCTCAGGGAGCAAATCCGTCTGGATTGAGGATGCTCATTGTGTACTTGTGCGCATGATTGTTTGCTTTCTGGTTAAAGAATGGGCAGCATGTCTGCATTTGAGGTTGTTATTCCAGAATCCCGTGAAAAGGGAGCATTGTATCAAAGAGGGATGTCATTGATCACCTCAGAGCTGGAGGAATTCCTCACCACTAGCCATGGGAAGTGCCTTCAAGGATAACTGATTTGGCCAGAGGAGGCTCAGGATTAGTGAGCTGTAGGGCAGCTGCAGCTGGCACACCCAACAGGTTGGCAATGAAGTTCAACTCTGCACACTGGTCACGACTCCTTCAGTCCCCTCTTTTCTCCATGCCCTAACCAGGGATGGGTTCTCTATCCATTCCTATTCCTCACCAGCCTCCACCTGGCCCAGGTGTCAGTCCCCAGGTGTCAACTGAGCAGCACAGCATCTTCTCCCCCCGAACAGATGGAAATTGTTACAGGTGACAGGGAATTAGAGCTGTGATGAGGGCAGGAGAGAGACCCCCTTTGCACCTCAGTGAGGGTGCAGAAGGGAAACAGGAAAGACTCAGCTACCCCGAACGCTTCCCCTGCAGCTGAAGGTGAATGCCTGAAGGTCCGAGCAAATGAGGCCAATGCTGGGCTTCACTTGAAATGAGCTTGATACATGCAAGCACATAGGGGTGGTGTTAGGAGCAGGAGAGAAACTAAAGATCTGTGGGATTCTGATCCGAAGCTTGCAGACAGTATCGAGCACTCCAGTAAGGCTGGGAGGGAGGGTGGGAGCAGATATCCAGAATCTTGGAGCATATTCTGTGGGTGTATTGGTGATGGTGAGGTGGGAGGCAGAGCTTTCTAAAGAAGCTGTAACTGAAAAGCACACACACACAATGACATTTCTATTTGACCAATATATTTTTACTGCTATAGTGCTTTCCTGTTACTAGAAAAAGAAGAAAGAGCATAGAATGGACTTTAAAGGTCATTTGCCAATGGTAATCATCTTGGCAAAGATATCTCGGTAGCCTTCAGTCCTTTGGGTTTCAATCTTGGTAAATGAGGCTGCATTTGTTGCTTGGAACCAGAGGGTGGGAGGGGCGTGGCCATTCATTTACCATCGGCTGCTTGGATGCTGGCATCTGTTGTGAGGAGGCTGACCTGGAGCGTGTGACCTCAGCTGATGGCAGCAGTGGATCCCTGCTGCTGTGGTTTAAAATGAGCCATGATAATAGTATTTATGTGAACTTGTACATTGCACTTGACATTCGAACGGCCCATTGCAAGGAAAGTTCTGGAATTGAATGGAGTAGGCCAAGGGTACCAAGATGACAGGTGGGTAAATGAAGGAGATCGCTCAGGAAGTCAACGTTAATGCTCAGCGTTTTACTACCACTGGGGCCTGGAGTGGCTTGAGGATTTGGGAAAACGGAGCAGAAGTGCAGTATAATTGAGTTGAATGCACCTAATTGCCTGAGTAAAGAGAGGTGTGAGATAGCCCATGTTTATAAGAACAAAGCACCAAACAGTCACTCTGGCCAACTACAATCTTTCCAAAAGCATTTCTAGCTCTATGTCTTTTAGTGTTTTGTGTCTCAACTTAGTTCTTTCATCAGTTTATTCACTCAAGAAATTATTTCTGGTCCACCCTGGGGACATTTGCCTGTAACTACCAAAGTGCTTTCCCTCCCCATTGGTGCATCCAAATCTGTTGTTTCCAATGAGCCTTGTGAGCAGGGACAGTGAGTTTGCAAGGTTCTTTGCCTCTGTCTCTTTGCTATTCTCTGCCTGTATTTTGAACAACAGATGGAGAACAATGAGAAAATGTGATCTTTCAGAAGCTAGGGGTGCGAGTGAGACTTTTGTTTCTGAAGTTACAACATGTATGTTTGGCCAGCACTTTCACATCCTGAAATACGACTTTTAATCCACATCTCAGGCCTGCATTCTCATGTCTGTTCTGTATATGAGCATCTAATCACATTTGGCCAGCCAGATGACCTGCCTGCGTGCCACTGTGATTAGGAGTGAGTGGGATGGAGTCCAGGTCCTTCCCAGCCGTTTCATGACCAGCTCAGTCTTTAGTGGTTAGAAGTATCACTGAGCTTGACTGGAAGCTGCTGGTGAGAGTGTCCGTATCCTCCAGATCGCAACAATTACATGTGGAAGGCTCTGGACATGAAGGAGAGTTCTTCAACACAGCATTTTCTCTCCATTGATTTACATTGCTGTGTTTAACATGTGTGCTTTTTAAATGCAAAGAAGCCCCTGCTTGCCTTCCTAGGAGTGGATTAGCCACATAAGCAGTCCTCCTACCTGGAGAACCCTTCACCTTGGAAATAATTACTGGCAACTGTGGTTTGGTCTAAGGGTGACTCAAGGCCACTGGGAGACCCCAATCCTTAAAACTGTTCCGTGCTTTAGGCTGTGTTTGGGAGACAATGTGGGGCTGTTGCTATATGCGCCAGGAATGCAGAGAGAGGGAGGGAGGGACAAGGCAGCTGAGACCTTCCTCCTGAGTCAATGCTATGCCAGGCTTTGCTGGGGAGACTGTGCTTTCCACCCACCCCATTCCTCCCCACCAGTGCCCTAGCCCTGCAGTGCGTGCCAGCAGGATGCCCTAAAGTCATGGAGGGAGGAGGATACCTGTCCTTGGATTTCAAACGGCACTGATAGCTTTGTTTTGCAACTCCTAGGTTCCAAAGATGGCATAGCAATAAAGGCACCTTCCAATGACTGTGAACACCCTGACCGGTGGGTGCGAGCCCAACTCAGTGGCTTCCTGTTGAGCTGGAGGAAAGTGTCTGCAGCCTTTCCGAACACCCTCTTCCGCTGCTAATTCATGAGCCAGCAGGATGCGGTCGCTGCACTGTCAGAACGCCTTCTCATAGCTGCGTACAAGGGCCAAGCAGAGAATGTGGTTCAGCTCATCAACAAGGGGGCCAAGGTAGCGGTTACCAAGGTAACACAGAAACCCCTCCAGCCCTTCCCTGGGAAACAGCCCACCTCTTAACCATTGTCTGTGAAACTACAGCATTCAGTTCACAACTTCCAAAGAACTGGCTGTTTATTTCTTGGTTTGTTTGTTGGTCCCCCAATGATGTGGGTTTACAGAAAAGGGAGGAGGATTAAGAATGTGTTCATTGCTGTCTTTCACATGCAATAACTTGCAGTTAGAATTCGGCACTCTTTAAGATGGCCCCGTGGCCCTTTCTCACCTTCTTCTCTACTCAAATAGTCAAAAAGTTGGGGCACAGAAGCTCACTGGGCAAGGTGTTGGTGCACTCATCATGTTGGACAGCCTCTTAAGGAAGTGGGGCCATTGCGTCCAGGGGAGCCCTCAGTTTCCCTGGCTGTACAAGTGCTTTGGCAGTCAGTGCAGTGACCACTGAGACCTGTATGGGCATTGGTCTCATGCAGGGATCAGTGGAGATGTGTGGCAAGCTGTGGCATCCCTTGTTTGCCTCACTGACACCATGGTAGACAAGAGGCCAAACTGGCCAAAGGCAGTCATGTTAGCCTAGTCAGGAAATGGTAGGCCCTGCATAGTTAGATGACAGTTTAAGTGCATGGATCAGCGACACGGGTGACAGTCAGCTCTTAGCATTGCTCTAAGCACTTCACAATCTTCCAGAGGAGGACACACATGGGGAAACTGAGGACCAAAGTGATCTGAGTAACTTGCCAGGGTCCCTCAGCCCCCAAGTGGTAGAAATGCAACTTGTGCCTGAGGCATCAGTGTGGTAAGCCCACCTTCAGACCAGCCGAGCCAGGTCTCCCACACAAGTGCCTGAGATCTCACCTCCCTCAGTGCATCTGCAGAAAGCTGGAGTCAGAAGTACGGCAGTGCAGGCCACAGGCAGCATAGCTGTTTCAGCTGCTGGGCCAAAAGCCCACCTCCATTTCTTGCTATGACTCAATGCTTCATTGTAAGCGTATATGGGAGTCCCTTTTATGGTCTGAACTCCTCCTGGTGAGTGCCCCAAACCATAGATAGTACTAAACCCTTTGTATCTTTTTTTTTTTCCTATGTATATGTATAGCCATGGTAAAATTTATTAGTTAGACCCAGTAACAGATTTAAAATAACTGATAGAACAGTTATAACAAGTTTACTATAACAATGTCCTCAGCCTCGCAATTTTTATAGTTTGGCCCCCATGTTAAGTGAATAGGAATTGAACCATGACAGTTGATCTGGTCATTGAAATGGCTGCTGAATGAGAAACAGGCAAGTTCTATAAGCTGCATGAATCTGCTGGAGCCAGGGATCATTCACATCCTGGAAAGGACACAGTGTGACAGCATGGTATGGGCACACAGTTTTAAACCCATAAATTGTTCGTGTATAGAACTTTTTTGCTTAATAGTTTTAGACCATGGTTGACTATAAAAGCTATGGAAAGAACTGCTGAGGAGGGGGAGCTATTATTCCAAGTACTATCCCTCTGGCAGTGTGTGGATATCTTGGTTTGTTTTCTCATGAACAGTGCTAATATGAACACTCACTTATGAATGTATGTACATTTTCATTTCTCTCTACCTAGGAATGGGAACACTGTTTCACATGTTGAATCTGTATGTTTATTTTTTTAAAAGATCGATGTGTTTATTTGAAAGAGTGACAGAGAGAAGGGTGGTGGATTGGCAGCGATAGCTTTATTTCCATCCGCTAGTCCGCTCTCCAAAGGCCACAGCAGCCAGGTCAGGCCCAGAACCCAGAGCCAGGAACTCTGTTCTGGTCTTTGCATGGGTAGTAGGAGCCCAAATAATTGGGCGTCTTCCACTTTCCACGGTGTATTAGCAGGAGGCTGGACTTGACACTTTGATGTGAATGCCAGCATCATTAAGTGACGGCTTAATCCACTGTACTGCCTCAAGGTAGATTAAATCTGTGTATACTGAGCTGTTTTCTATAGTAGGTATGCCATCTTACATTAGCACCAACATTCGTTTTTCTGTATCTCCACTAATATATCCTTTTCTTTTTAAAGGCTAGTTATCTTTTGTTAAAATAATGCATATATATGGGAAATTTGAGCATTAGTTCAGGGGCTGGCACTGTGATACAGTGGTGTAAGTTACCACCTTTCACACTAGCATCCTATATTAGCTCCCAGTCCCTGCTACTCTGCTTCCAACCCAGCTTCATGCCAATCCACCTGGAAAAGCAGCAGCAGACAGCTCCACAGGCACGGGATGTTGCAATCTAAATGAAGTGCCCATGTGGAGTTCCAGGCTCCTAGCTTTGGCCTGGCCCACCCTGGGTTTTGTGGCCACTTTGAGAGTGAATCAATGAATAGAAGATATCTCTGCCTCTTCTTGTGTGTAGCTGCCTTCAAACAAATAAAAAATATGTGCATCTTAGTGTTCAGGTATGGCTGGAAGGCTTTTAACAAGCTTTGTTCCTCTGAAGAAACAACTTTACAATTTTCTAGTGCTTACCTCTGTATTTCTAGTGAATACATATGACTAGTTGATGCAACAGTTTTATTCCTGTCTTTCCATGGCTTAATAGTTCATTTCTTTTTAGTGCTCAGTAATAGTCCATCATATGGATCCAATATTCTTTGCTTTTCTGTATTCTCACTAAAGGGCAACTTAACTGCTTCTGAATTTTGGTAATGACGAATAAAACTATAAACTTTTTAATATGGCTTTTTTGTGGAAGCATTTCACCTGTGGCAGATACCACAGGGTGCAGTTGTTGTGTACATTATGACAACTGTTTTCTGTACAAGAACCTTCTAGATTGTCTTCCAAAGGGGCTATACCATTCTTCCATTTTTACCAATGGTAATATTTCCCATTTCTCTGCATCTTTGCTCTTGTTTGTCATTAGGGGGTGTTCTGAATTCTAATTGGCGTGGGATTGTATCTCCTTGTTGGTCATATGCTGCCTTTTACCTCTGCTGATGCTGTCCTCTGAATAAAAGTGCTTAGGCATGATGAAGGCTCGTTTATCTGTGTTGCTTTGCTGTGCTAGATCTATAGGATCTTTGCCAAATCCCATTTCATGAAACTTTTCTTCTCTTTTAGAAATTTCATAGCTTCTGATCTTGATTTAGGTCTCCATTGTCTTTCAAGTTAATTTTTGTGGATGAGATAAGGCAAGAGTCTGTCTTCATTCTTTTGCAAATGAGTAGTCAATTTCTTTAACCCTGCTTGTTGAGAAAGCTGACTTCTAAGAGAGCTTGGCATGTTTGTACACACACACACACACACACACATTCACACACAGGAGTTTATTTGTAGACTTTCTGGGCTATTTCTTTGGTCTATGTATCTATATGCCAGTTCCATGTGGTTTTGGTTACTGTAACTCTGTAATTTTAAAAAATGTTTCAATTGTGCTATTTAACAATTTCTGACAACCTTATAATAGTTATACATTTTTATGGAGCACAGTGCAGTATTTCAACAGATGTATACAGTGTAAACTGAAAATTTCTGGCAGTTGATATTTCCATTTCCTTCATGTTTGCAATCTTCTCCAGTTCTTCATACAGAGTACAACACATCATTGTGAACTACAGTCACCCACTGTGCTGGGACGTCCTAGAATCAATTGCTGCTCTCTGTCCTCTGATGTCTATTGTCCAGCTGCTCTGCTCCCTTCCTCCACCTTCCCAGCCTCTTGTAATCACCATTCTGAGTTAGATTCTTTTAAGCATCCTCATATGAGAGGCAATATGCAGTATATCTGTATGACATTTCATTTGGCATATGAAACCTTTGGTTCCATCCATTTTGCTGCAAGGGACGGGATTCCATTTTTTATGGGTAAAAATCTGGTGGGTGTACAGAGTACATTTTGTTTATCCATTCATATTCGCTGATTCCCAGGTTGATTTCTTGTCTTAGCTATTTTGAGTAGCACTGCAATGAAAGGAATACAGCCATCTTTCATAATGCTGATCTCATTTTCTTTGCATATATTCCCAGAAGTGGGAATTCCAAGTTGTGTGGCCAATCTAGCTGTAGTCTTTTGAGGAACTTGCATGCTAGCTGTACTAACATGCATTGCCTCCATCGCTTGTTGGGGTTCTTTTTCTTCCATCAGCATTTTTTTCCTTTTTGATGGTAATCATTCTAATTGGAGTGAAATGATATCTCATTGTACCTTTGATTTGCATCTCTCTGACTAGTGATATTAAACATTTTTTGTCCTTTTTATTACTATTTTAGAAAAATTATTTGGAAATTATTTGCCCATTTTAAAATGAATTGTTTGGGGTTTTATCTGAGTTTAGGGAGTTTGTTTTATATTCTGGGAAAAATCTTTTGCCACATGGATAATACGTAAATATTTCTGAGATTCTGTCAATTGTGGCTGTGCAACAGCTTCCTGGTTTGATGCAATCCTACTTGTTTAGTTTTACTTTTTTTAAAAAATTATTTTTATTGAAAAGGGGGATATACAGAGAGGAGAGAGGAAGATCTACCTTCTGATGTTTCACTCCCCAAGTGACCACAATGGCCGGTACTGTGCTGATCTGAAGTCAGGAACTCTCCCACACGGACGCAGGGTCCCAAGGCTTAACTGCTTTCCCAGGCCACAAGCAGGGAGCTGGATGGGAAGTGGGTCCACCGGGATTAGAACCAGCGCCCATATGGGATCCTGGCACTTTCAAGGGGAGGATTTTAGCTGCGAGGCCACAACGCCAGGCCCTAGTTTTGCTTTGATAGCCTGTGCTTTTAAAGTCTTATTCAAGAAATTGTAACTTATACTGATGACAGAAAATATTTCCCACATTTTTTTTCTAGCAATTCTCATGCTCTACGTTTAGGGCTTTGGTCCATTTATGTTGATTTTTGTGCAATGTGGTAGGTTGGAGAGAGAGTCTTCTGTATATGAACATTCCGTTTTTGAGAATCAGTTACTGAAGAGTCTGTCCTTTCCCTGTTTTTGATGTCTTTGTGAAAAATTAATTGGCTGCAAACGTGGATTCATTTGGGGGA